AAACAATCCTTTCAAGGACCTTTGAGGCTACGGCTAGCAGAGATAACGGTCTGTTGTTGGCAGCTCTTTCATGGTCACCGTCTTTTAGAATCGGAATCACCTCAGCCTCTTTCCAGTTGTCTGGAAATGTGCTAGTAAGGATAGAACAATTGAAGATGTCAGTAAGAGGGCCCAATATGACAGGGAGACAGTCTTTTAGTACACAAGCGCTGATCTTGTCAGGTCCCAGAGATTTATTCATTGGGAGAGATGTTACAATTCAGCGAACCTCTTCAAGTGACACTGTCCTCAAATTGAATAATTCCATAGAGGTAGTATCTATGCCATTTTCAGATGAAAAATCTCGGACTATGATGTTTTCCCTCAAGTGCTGTGCTGTGTCAGCAGCATTTAAGCTGACTTTAGCAAAAAAAACTGATTGAATTCATTGGTTAAGACTGCCACATCCTTTGTAAAGGCTGGTCTCTGCTTACTGTATCTTTGGAGGGGATGGCACGATTAATAATTTTCCAGAGTGAGCCAGAGTTGTTTTTATTAGTTGTGACTTCTTCAAAGGTGTGATCTCTTTCAGCTTCTTGTAGCTTTTTCTTGACCAAGTCACAGGAATGTTTGAAATTTATCCACTCACTGTCTTGGCAAGACTGTATGAATTGCTTCAGGAGGAGATCTTGTGATCTCATAAGATCCTTGATTTCCTGGTTCACAAAGGGGCACGGTCTACTCTGAAGTTTAATTTCTTTCACAGGAGCATGCAAGCTGCAAAGTGTCATTTAAAATATTGAGCTTAGAGTCTACATCGGTTTGATTGAAGATAATGAGCAGGGAATCCGCTTCCTTAGCTAGGTCCATGACAAAGAGATCCGCATTATACTTCTTGTAACTTTGAGTGGTAATGAACTTAGGGATAATCTAGGGTTTCTTAACCTTGAGCTTGACAAAAACAATTGAGTGGTCACTAATTGGTCGATGTATTACGCCGCTAACAAGCACTGAATTGTTGGAGGAGACTAGGATATCGTCGAGCAGGGATCGAGTGGTCACTGTTATCCTGGTTGGTTTTGTAATGAGTTGTGTCAAGTTCATATCTGTAGAGAATTTCTCCAAAGCTTTGTATTCAGTGCCTGTTTTCTGGAGACCATCGCAGTTTAGGTCGCCTAAGATTGTGATTGGTTTGTCAAGCAGCAAGGCTTGAATATAGCTGGGCTTAAACATGGAGCGAGCTTATAAATTGAGGCTGAGCAGCTCAGCCCGTCAATCACAAATTGGAATACTCTGCTTTGATTGGCTTATTCACCCAGGTGTGTCGTACTCCCACGAAATTTGCACGAAGTAATTTTTCAGGCGACCGCACAAGGGATGGTTTTTCACTTGTTTGCTTCTCGACTTTCTGAAAAGGTAAGCGAAAACATTCAAGAGTGTGCCCTTCTTCCGCTTTACATTCTACTAACTTTACGGCAATGATTATTTTTGGTGATCCTCTGAACTTTGAAGGTGGCAGAGTCTAAACTTTTCCCACATTTGCAAACACAATCATTTCCGTCAATAAAATGTCTAAACAAGCGTTCGAGGGCAGATTCGCACACTAAATAAATTTTGTCTTTTTCTCGGCTCTCGCTATGCAGCTGGGTCTTGATGTAGCTGTCCTGGAACGATTCTGGGGGCGAGCTTGCATTTGTCTCCTCTTCGATAACTGACTGCATACTATCAAAGTCCACAAGGTGTGCAGTTTCTAAACCATTTGCCTCAGTTTTGGCATTATGTACAAGCCAGTTGTCTACTAAAATTTCCATAAAACGAGCGTCTGCTGCAGGTACAAGTTTGTTATCCAAATGCAGCTCTTTTTTGATGGGTGCAATTTTCATCTTCAGCGACTCCAGGCGGCCTTCTTCTTCTTTGTTTAACTCTATTTTGAAGTCGTACCTGACCTTTTTAGCCTTTAAAGAGTCTTTCTTTTCTTTGTAGTACTCAGAATTTCGGATTTTTTTGTTCTGAATAGAACAGTTTGGAGGTGCATTTGCATTATGGCGGCCTAGCATGGACGCAAACCGTATACATACGAACACATAACTTCTGTTTGTTTTGTTGTTTTACTTTCCCGCTGCCAAATATCAAAGTACAAGCCTTACTATCGTACAGAACTTACAGGCATGCTCAAGTTATAGAAATAGATGATCTTTATGATTGCAGGCCCATTTTCTCAACGGAGGAGATGCGTTCATCGATCTTGAGCGCCTGCGAAATTTGAATTTTCTCCGAACGGGAAGGAAGTTTTCACTCATTTCTTGAGTTTTTTGTCTAAGAATGACATTTAAGACACTCTTGAAAAGGTAAGCAAATGGTGGGGGTTGTAAATAAATAATTTAATGTATCATTTCTTGAAAGCAGACAACAAGAGATTTAGCAAAAGATTTATAACAATAGTGACCGTTGCAGAAAGCCACTATTAATGGTGGGAAGGAAGCCAACAAAGTGCAAACCACTGACCTTTTATAGGCTCGCTCCATGTTTAAGTACTTCTTCGAAGGAACTCAGAGGACAGTCGTCTGGGCAATATGTCACACAAATTATTGTTGATTTTAGTTTCTTGCACTGGACATTTAATAATAATAATAATATTATAATAATAATCTTTATTTCTTAAGATAAAATCACATATCCTAAGTTACAATATAAACTCAAAAAACTATTTACATATCATATCTAAAAATTATTCTGTTACTAAAAACGTTCTTAAACCTGTCAGTGTAGATTCTAGGGACAGAGACTGACATATTTCCAAGATTGTACCTCATGTTCGTTTCCTTAGGTAAAAACTGGAAGAACAGGCATTCGGGGTCATTCGATCTTTTTTGTAGAGTGTATTGTCCGCCTTCTCTAGCAAATCCCTGATATTTACATTCCTGGACATAAACTTTCTTTTCATACACCGGTCTAAAAAATTCTGTATTACAGAAAGGTTGGAATCTGAGGCACCATAAACCGGGAGAGCCTAAGAAAAATTTGGTAAAACTATTGCGTTAAAAAGGTGATCTACCTCCTCCTGGGACATTCCTTCCTTACGTAAAGATCCTAATATGATTAATGACTTGTTCGCCTTAATTACCTTCGCGCACACATGACTACTGTATTTATAATTTTGTTGGAAGGTAGCACCTAATATGGATAACTCTGCGCACTGCAGTATGTTACTAGCTGGCGCGATGTCCTGACTGAAACCTTTCTTACTGAAAATAATCTCCTTGCATTTTGTTAGATTGCATGTCATGCAATTGTGGCTGGAACAGCTTAGAAACTGATCCACCAAGTCAGTGCGACACTGGCCGTTTCCCCAAAAAGGGACGATAATTGTAGAATCATCAGCATATTTAAACAAGGCTGGGCAACCTTCTAGATTGATCTCCAAGTCATTAATAAACACGTTAAAGAGATATGGCCCACTGACACTTACTATCCAATAAGGGGATTCAATGGCAACTGCCTAAGCTTAGATGACAGGAGTTCATGATTGACACAGTCAAATGCTTTACTAAAATCCATTGCAAATACTCGGACGGCTTTGCAGTCTTGCTCGTCTAAATAGCTGTAGATGGTATGCTGCATGCTCAAGAGCACATCAATGCAACTCCCCCCTGTTGTATAAGCAAACTGTGTTGAATTCAGATGCTGTTTGACAATGTCTCATGTATGGGTGTTATACACATATTCTCGAACGCGCATGCAATTACAGGCGTGATCTTAATTCCTCTGAAGTCCTGCTTGCCCTTAGGGATGTCAGTCTTAGGGAGGGGCATCAACTGGGCCCTTTTCCACGAGGAGGGCCACTTGCCAGTTTTCAGGGGAACATTCCAGATCTTAAGAATGACACTTGTGAAGATCTCAGCGTGATCCCTCCAAATCCAAAAGGGAATGAGATCTGGTCCCATAGCGGTTTTCTTCAGATATTGTAAGCAAAAGTGTCTTTCTGATATCTGAGGGGCTTCTAAGCTCTTATCCACAATAGCTGGTACAGGCTTCGTATATGCGTCATCAGTGCACAAATTGGCAAAGTAGTCCTTTAGCTCCTCCAGTGATTTAGTGTCCAATGTCACGTTAGCAGAAATGTGTCGTCGTAGGGACAAGTTATCTACATGCTTCCACCATTCTCTGGATCTGACAGGTGCCTTTGCGAGTGTTCTTCTGTTCTTACTAATCAATTCGCTTATTTTCCTGTTAACCTCAGCCAGCTGATCTTTATTGCCTGGAACTATTCTTGACTTTACCCTCATTAACGATTTTACTAAGGGTGTCATCCACACTGGATCACGCGATGACATGCATACTGACTGCAATGGCATACACTCATCCATGTGGTGTTTAATTTTTCCTTCCAAATTATTCACTGCCTCCTCGACATCATTTAAGTTTAAGACACTGTCCCAATTCTCACTTACTAGTTTTAGGTACAATTCTTCCTTACGGTGTCTTCTACAATCACTAATGCGAACGTTTTGTCTGATTGGCTTTAATTTCATTCCTGCTGGTAAAATGACCGCTGTGTGATCTGTTTTTATGGACACAGAGTATAGAATGCTCTTTGCAAATAAATCCGGCTGGTTTGTGAAGACCTTGTCTAAATATGCGTCGCCTCTTGTTGGAAAATCTACAAGAGAGTCCCATCCTGTCATTACAATAACCTCATTAGTGTCAAGCCGATTAACATCGCCTCCGGCAACAATAGTCAGACCAGGATGTTGATCTAGTGCATTGTCCATTAAGTGGGTTAAGTATTGCAAAAAATCAGTCGGTTGGTATGTAGGTTTAGGCGGGTGATAAATACCACACGTTAATAACAAATGTCCCGAGGGTAATTTAAAAATCACATACAGCAGCTCGTAAAGCTTTGATCTGTAAACATTGATGATGTTTAAGTTACTCCTCTCGTAGATAGCAATCCCTCCCTTACTTCTTTTATCCAGTCCCGACCAGTTTCTATCCCGTCTGAAAATAGAATAGCCAGGAAT